GTACAGTTAAGCGTTGTCGGGATAATGCCGGTTCACGTGGCTACGCCGACGCAACTTAAATTCTGTATTATGAATATTTTAAGGCCAGACAAGTAATTTGTTGAGGTCAATTTGTAAAGAAGGACTACACGCCTGTGCACATATATATTCACACGCACACACCTATAGACTACACACGTGACGCGTCAGCGTTTCACAGATTATCATCACATTAGCTGAAGTTTACGCGGAGATAATAACATTTTCAACTGTTTTCAACGTTTGCCCCTTGGGTCCTGTTTCAGGGTTTGCGTTCTCGAGCTCCACTGTTGTGTGCGGATGAGTTAAGGGTTTTCTGTTAGATTCGTGTTAGCGGCCCCTAAGTTAATCACTAATGATCTGTGCAACAGAAGTGAATCAATCTAAATGATCACTGTTATCACTGTAAAGCTGCTTTGAAACAATCTATATTGTTAAAAGAGCAATATAAATGAAGATATAAGTTAGGGTTAGGTATAAGATTTAAATGATATAAGTGACTTGACTTATTATTATCATTATAGTTATCGTTACTGTTATAGTATCATTATAGTTATTGTTTTGGTTCTCGATACAGATATTGTTATAATTATCATTATAGTTCTTGATACAGTTATTAATGTTCTACTTATCGATACAGCCCTAAAACATCTATTTCAGCTTTCATTGCACCAACATAACTCTAAAACTTGAGGTGTTCACAATCACACAACATACACACTTCAGGAACAGTCACATGACTTCCTCTGCTCAATGACTGCTGTGTGTGTGTGTGTGTGTGTGTGTGTGTGTGTGTGTGTGTGTGTGTGTGTGTGTGTGTGTGTGTGTGTGTGTGTGTGTGTGTGTGTGTGTGTGTGTAACAGATTGTGGCGTCCTGACAGCAGGCATCTTGGCTCAGAACTCTGGGTAATTGACCGAGCTCAACTCGTTCTCTCATTCAGCGTCTCTCTCTCTCTCTCTCTCTGTATCTGTGATGAACAGCAGACAGCAGGAACAGAGAGCAGGACGGAGGAAGGACAAACAGACGAGCAGACGGAGAGATGAGAAGACAGAGAGAGAGAGAGAGAGAGAGAGAGAGAGAGAGAGAGAGACACTGAGAGACAGAGAGAAGGAGCCCTAAATATGTGTCCTAGTTCTCTGGTCTTTAAAGCGGAGCACACATGATACACTGACACTATCTAAACCAGGTCACAGAGAGAGAGAGAGAGAGAGAGAGAGAGAGAGAGAGAGAGAGAGAGAGAGGGGTGAGACTCTCTCTCTCTCTCTCTCTCTCTCTCTCTGGGCTGAAGGTCGTCCTGTCTGACCTCTGACCCCTCAAGATCAGCAGCACATCACAGAGATCTCCAGAACAACCATCAAATCTGGTTTCATCTGGTCCATCTCACAAGACTCAGTGTTTCCAAGCAGTTTATACAGAAGATCTCGCTCAAACAGCCAGACCAAACCAGTGCAAGCCATCCTAAACCAATACAAACCGACACAAACCAGCACAAACCATCATAAACCAACACAAACCAGACAAAACCAGTACAAACCATCATAAAACCAGCACAAACCAGACCAAACCAGCACAAGCCATCCTAAACCAATACAAACCAGACCAAACCAGCACAAGCCATCCTAAACCAATACAAACCAACACAAACCAGCACAAGCCATCATAAACCATTATAAACCAACACAAACCAGACAAAACCAGCACAAGCCATCCTAAACCAATACAAACCGACACAAACCAGCACAAGCCATCATAAACCATCATAAAACAATACAAACCAGACAAAACCAGTACAAACCATCAAAAAACAAGCACAAACCATAATAAACCAATACAAACTGACACAAACCAGCACAAACCAGCACAAACCATCATAAACCAATACAAACCAACACAAACCAGCACAAACCAGCACAAACCATCATAAATCAATACAAACCAACATAAACCAGCACAAACCATCATAAAACCATCACAAACCAACACAAACCATCATAAAACCAGCACAACCCATCATAAACCAGACAAAACCAGCACAAACTATTATAAACTATCACAAACCAACACAAACCAACACAAACCATCATAAAACCAGCACAAACCATCATAAACCAGACAAAACCAGCACAAACCATCATAAACTATCACAAACCAACACAAACTGGATCTCTCAGCACATTGATTCCACCTTAAAGGGACAGTTCACCCAGAAATTGGGCCATTCCTCACATTGTTCAAACCTGTGTGACTTCAGACAAAAGAAGATATTTTGAAGAACATTGGGAATCAAACAACATTGGACCCCATTGACTTTCATTACACAAGCATTTCTCAAAATAGCTTCTTTTAAGTTCCACTGAAGAAAGTAAGTCACACAGGCTTTTGAAGTCACAAGAGTAAATGCTCATTTTTGGATGAACAGACCCTTAAAGGGGACATATCATGAAAATCTGCCTTTCCCCGTGTGTGAGTGCTATAATCGGGTCCCAGTGCTTCCAGCAACCCAGAAAACAGGTGAAACCCAGTAACTGTGTTCTGGTGAGCCTTTCTCTGAGAGCATGTCAAGCAGTAAGCCGATCAGATTTCGCTCCTTCTGCCGTATGAAGAGGATCTTATTATAATATTCCCGGCCCTTAATCTGCACGTTCACACACACCAGCGACATTGGGTTCGGCGAGCGCCAACAGAGACCAGTTCTAACGCACTGGAGAAGATCCAGCAAAGCCTGAAACTGTTCTGTGGTCGAGCACAGACGACACTGAACACTATTGACCAGAACATGTCAGCGCTGTCTTATAAACACCTCAGGAACTGTGGACACTTGTGGAAGAGTTCAACAGGATGAGGAGATGATCAGTGTAACTCCACAACAACTACAGAAATGTCTCCGCTAACATTCAGAAACGTGTAAAAGTGAAGCTCTCCCTGAGTCTCTCCGTAAGGCTGCACTCGCTGCTGTTACTCCTGACTCTGGATCAGTGAGATCGGCCTGTGTTGTTATTGCCGGAGTCTCTGAAGCTCCGCCCTCTTCTGAACAGAGGCGGGGCTAAAGCTCATTTGCATTTAAAGGGACACACACAAAAACGGTGTGTTTTTGCTCACACCCAAAAATTTGACAAGCTATAATAAATGATCTGGTATTTTGAGCTGAAATTTCACAGACACATTCTGGGGACGTCATAGATTTATATTACATCATAATATGCCACCTTTAAACTCTAGTGAACTGAATTGAGCTGAATAATATCACTATTGTCTTCTGTAGAGCATTAGTTTCATAATTGTTGCATTTTGCAGCATTAGCGCTGCTATTTCCCTGACATTGTAAAGGTTGTGTGCAGTTAGAGCATCTGGACAGCTGAGCGTGGGCGAGCCGCTCTTCATCCTCATCTTCATCTTCATCCGGTGTGATTTCACCGGCGTTTAAAGCGTGGGCACAGATCTGACTCACAGCACTTACATGAGGACCTGATCGCTCTGTGTGTGTCTGTCGGCTTAGCATCACACACACACACACATTCCCCCATCATGCATCTGTGCTCCCCTCTTCAGAATGCATGAAATCAAAATGGACTTTTTTATGGAATATTGCAGTGTTTATTCTGAATGATGTGGTGCACATCATTATTGTGTTAATAATGTTGAATCAGAATAAGTTCCTCTCGCAGCTTCTCTTCTCTTCTCTGATGACGAGGGCGGGGCTATAACCTGTCACTCACAGGAGATCAGCCAATAGCAAACCACAACCATCCAATCAATTCCACACAGACACAGTCAAGCCCCGCCCACATTTGATCTTGTTATAGAAGCGATCCCTCAGCACTATCCACCTTAGTCCAATCAGTGAAAGGCTCACTCTATGAACGCAATAATACCAAATACCATAGATAGACTAATAGACTAAAAAAATTAAATAATACGTTTTTTTTATAAAAACTGGGTACAATGAGATGACAATATTCTACTCACCCTTCAACCATCGAACATTAAAAGGTCATTTAAAAGTGTAAAAGCATCAACAAGGAACTGTCAACAGACCATAACCCCAAAAGCACGACTCTTTCCACAGCAATAACGGACTGGTTAAATATCACTGTAGTAATATATATACAGTATATAACTGGGTAACACTTTACAATAAGGTTCATTTATTAAACATCATATTAAAGTGGAATGCAAAGGGAAAAAAGAAAATTATCACGAGGAAAAGAATGCAGCGACTGAAAAGAAGAATATTCTTGTTATATCGTTAAAATACTAAGTGTTGCGTTATTCTCATGATGTCTGAAAATAAAACATGAAGGGAAATTGACTGCTCATTCAGTCAAACTGGCGGACCAGCTTTATTTGTAGGGCAGCCATAGACTGTATATAATATGTGCGCAGTGTGTGTGACGTCACCCGTAGTGTTTCTGAAGAGCGTTTCTGAAGCCCAGAGTGGGCGGAGCCGGCCGGCGCCATCTTGGCCGCGCATCACTCCCGGATAAACGAACATGTGCAGCGAGGCGGATTAGCTGAGGTGACGTAACGCTAACGCTAGCAGACAAACGGCTAGCAGTGACATCAGCGGCAATCCACCTGTCACTCCCTTAATCATGCAGAACTTTAAGGCTTAATATAATTTAAACGGATGAGTTATAAAAACATTCACCCCCTCACAGTCGTCATGAAGGGCAACATTAGCGATATAGACCAAACCACTTTTAACACCAGACTGTAAACATGTTTTATTCTGCTGTAAAGTTGGGCATTTTTACATGCAGGTCTATGGGACTGAGTCTCTTCTGCAGCCGGCCTCTAGTGGCCAGTGGAGGAACTGCAGTTTAACTCACTCAGTGCTGGATTCAAGAGAGACTGGCTTGAGGGCAACCTTATGATTTGAATGATTCGTTTCAGGCTTTTTGAATGGAAGTTCCCCAAACCGGAAATGCCACCTATAATTCAAAACGCAGTCAGGAACAAATATATGGATATGGTCACGTACCTTAGCGGCCATGATCATGGAGGATCCTCCCTTGACGCCCAGGATGGGGATGTGTGTCTGTGCCGAGATGAAGTCCAGGATCTGAGCGATGGCCTCCTGGTCGGTGTCGTCTCCGAACACTACACCCTGCAGCCAGTGCTCCGTCATCAGGTCGCAGATGCTCTTGATGATGCTCTTGGGGTCCGTCTCGTTCATGGTGAGCATCTCCACGCTGGGCGCTAGCGGCATGTGGCCGAAGTCGTCCTTCTCGCGCGTGCCAGCGAGCACCACCTCACTGGAGTTGCCCACCAGCACCACCGCGATGCTCAGCCCCTGCAGAAGCTTGGAGACGGGCGGGAACTGGGCCACTGATGATGGGATGTAGTGGGCCACGCCCCCTCCGCCGCGATCGCGCCGTGATTGGACGGCTGGTAGAAGCAGAAGCAGGCACACGGCCAACAGCTGGGGGAGCGAGGGGCGGGGCCAGTGGGGTGAGGGCGGGGCTGGCGGACAAAGCCACGCCCGCTTTTCCTGAGAGGGTGGAGTCAAGCCTCGGTAAACGCAGATGGACATGATGGAGGAGAGAGAGACCTGCGAGAAAAAACACATTCTGTAACTCTGGCTCTTTTTTCTATTTAGAAAAATCTAATTTACATACTAACAATTTTCATAAATAAGGCTTGCCAATACTGCAAAATTGAAGTAAATTAGACGAACGACTGGAATTCTGAATTTTACAATATTACACAAAACGTGGTCAGATGTGTGTGAGTTTATCAACTGTAGTGGAATCGGCTGTTTCTACGTTTGTGTGGGACATTTCACTTTTTACACACTTGTTTAATGAAATACTGAGCACTTCTGGACCAAAGCGTCTGTTTGTTCTGTCAAAACTGAACATGACGGACCAACAACTCAGAGTGAAAGACTCGAGAGACAGACACACAAAGATGGCGCCGATGTGTGTGGCTAGCCGTCTGTCTGGGGCATGTGTTAGTGTGCTGTTTTTATTGTGTTTAACTAGTTTAACCAAACAAATCTGTGCACTCCTGACTTATGACCGGGATCAGCTTTTGTCCATCAAGTCAACTACGAACGATGCGCTGACGGCGGCCTGTACAGGAGAGGCCCTCCCTTCCTGGCTGGCGTTCCCAGCTATCTCTGGATACACGCCCGTTATACGCCCGTTATACGATGCGCAACGCAAGAGAGGGTGTCGTGGCGGCATCGCTGTCAAATTAAAGCGTTCTTTAGACGTATGTTTCATGTTTGTGTGATAAGTATTAGCTGAGTTTCAGTTCATTTTCCAGACATGTTTCAGAAAGATTTTTGCGGAGACAGAGTGAGCTGAAAGCGCACCCTGTTTATTTTATTTATTTAAAAAAAAACACAAGGTTTTGATGTTAATGTGAGTGTACACAAAAAAGAAGACCCTCTATAGTTTATAATCATGTATTGATTTTATTTATATGACCATAAATGACGGAGTATTTTAAGTCTATGTTGCTGCTATGTGAAAAAAATGCCCAGCAAAACGCGCCGGCGCGCTTGCCGTCCCCAGAGGGTTAAAGACGCTGCGGACATCCAGTCTGACGTCCACGGGCCGGAGTTCATCGCTGCCTCAGGCAGGGGATCAGGCCCATTGTCCCGCCACGTTTCTTGGAGGGGCCGTGTGGCGGGATTCATCCGGAGGGGTTGAGCTCTCCTGGAGTTCCCCGAAGGGTCGTGCGTTTCAGGGGAGAGGTGTGGATCTCCAGAATCTCCGCAGTTTGCGCCGTGAGATTTAAGGAGTTAATACCAATCAAGCTGGCTCTGTCGAATGGCCGCTCGGTGGGAAACAAAACTTTCATTATGACAAATGATCTGGACTTTTTCTTCATATCGGAAACCTGGCTAAAGGTAGGAGACTCATCGCCGCTATCTGAACTTTTGCCCGAGGGATATGTATGCATTCATTCTCCCAGATCCCTCTGGAGACCCTATCCTGCCTGCATTGCTGACTGGAGGGTTTTTGAGCCCATTACTTGGACAGGTCTGGAGGATATTGTACAAAAACTGAAACCAACATTCTGTGGAAATGATCTGATGCCTAGTCGTTTGATAAAGCAGACCTTTGACTGTGTATCACTGAGTTTAGCAGATTTGATTAATAGGAGCTTGTCCAGTGGGACATGTCCACTAGAGTTTAAACATGCTGTGGTGACACCTCGGTTGAAGCGACCAAATTTGGGCCAGGATGATACGCAGAACTACAGGCCAATCTCTCAGATGTCCTTTGTCTCTGAAATTTTAGAAAAAGTCGTGCTGCAACAAGTACTTTCATTTTTAAATGTTGAAATGAGTTGAAAGTGTTAAGCGATATCTTTCTGGCTTTAGACGAAGGAGATGATGTTGTCTTGGTGCTGCTTGACTTGAGCGCAGCTTTTGACATGATTGGCCATAACATCCTTATCTCCTGTCTTGAACACTCAGTAGGTCTAAAAGTTACAGTCTTGAAATGGTTTCAGTCCTATTTGAGTGATAGATGTTTTTCAGTTAATTATAGTAATATGACCTTGGGTAAAAAAACGTCTTCCTGGGGGGGTTCCGCAAGGGTCTATCCTTTCTCCCATACTTCTTCTTTATATTTGCTAACCCTAACCCAAGGGTAGAATTCAAAATTCTAACCCTAACCCAAGGGTAGTGTCATTTAGTTATTACGCAGACGACACGCAAATGTATCTACCACTCAGGTGCTCTACCAATTAATTTGAGTCACTTTTAGAGTGTTTAAAGGACATTAAAAATTGGATGGTCAAAAACGTTTTAAAGTTAAATGAGGAAAAAACTGAGGTTATTGTATTCGGCCACCCAAATAACTCCTCAAAAACGATATTAGATTCGAGTCCCCTCCCTGGCATCTTACTCGAAAACAACAGTAAGACATTTAGGCTTTTAAATTGATAATAACCTAAAAATGGACCAGCAAATTAACTAGTTTAGTAAAAACTAAACCATTTCTATCAAATGAAGATTTGGAAAGAGTAATCCTGGACTTCTGTAGCTCTCTGTATTGTGGCATCAGCGCCGCATCTTTGTCAAAATGCCGCGGCGAGGCGTTTAATGAGGGTAAAGAAACATGAATCAATTACCCCTGTACTAGCGTCTCTAAAATGGCTCCCCGTCCATTTTAGAATTAGATATAAAATATTATTGTTATTGTGGGAAAAATATGAAACCATCAGAAAACACTGCTCTCCCAAAACAAAATAAAGTAAATATTCAACCAATTTATTAGACGGCTCTGTGGAATACTTGATTCTGATTGGTCAATCGTATATTATTCCCAGATAACAGCCGCTGAGAGCAGAAACACCGGCTCATCCGGTCACTGAAGTCATCAGCGCTACACACTCGCTAGGAACGGGTTTTGCTTTTGGTGAGCTAATAAAATATTAAAACTCAGTCAAATCAATATTTTGTGTAGTTATTTAATTATGCCATCCAGTATCGTGGACTCGCGCGCTCTTGTTTCATACAAACGCAACGGCAGCCATTTTGTGACTATTGTTTTGTACACTGTTGGATTATGAGATACAAACAGGAACGATTTTAAAACAGTTTAATCTGAAATCAATATCTCTGATCTCCATAATTTTTTATGTGTTGAAATGCTGTGTAATAAGTGTTATGACTGTATACCGTATCTCTTACATGTCCGTCTAGTTTGATCTCGCCGCTGAAACTGCTCTCTCCGCGAAGCTTTACATTTAAAGAGATAATAAAATATTTCAACTCAGATCAATATTTCGTGTCTAATTATTCACTGATGTGGCAAGAGTCCGTGTAATAAGCGGATAATGTTCATCCAGCCGGCTGTTATCTCAGAATAAACCCCTTCAGGTGTGTGTGTGTGTGTGTGTGTGTGTATGATCTCAGAAAAAAAACCTTCAAGTGTGTGTGTGTGAGTGTGTGTCATCTCAGAAAAAAAAACTTCAAGTGTGTGTGTGTGTGTGATCTCAGAAAAAAAACCTTCAAGTGTGTGTGTGTGAGTGTGTGTCATCTCAGAAAAAAAACCTTCAAGTGTGTGTGTGTGAGTGTGTGTGATCTCAGAATAAACCCCTTCAGGCTGATGGAAGACCTGATCCTGATCACCCTGGTGGGGGTTTTTTCTGAGAAGTGTGTGTTCAGGCCGAGGTGAGCAACAGAAGTGTGTGTTCGGGCCGAGGCGAGCGACAGAAGTGTGTGTTCGGGCCGAGGTGAGCGACAGAAGTGTGTGTTCGGGCCGAGGTGAGCGACAGAAGTGTGTGTTCGGGCCGAGGTGAGCGACAGAAGTGTGTGTTCGGGCCGAGGCGAGCGACAGAAGTGTGTGTTCGGTTCGGGCCGAGGTGAAAAAAACAGAAGTGTGTGTTCGGGCCGAGGTGAGCGACAGAAGTGTGTGTTCGGGCCGAGGCGAGCGACAGAAGTGTGTGTTCGGGCCGAGGCGAGCGACAGAAGTGTGTGTTCGGGCCGAGGCGAGCGACAGAAGTGTGTGTTCGGGCCGAGGCGAGCGACAGAAGTGTGTGTTCGGGCCGAGGCGAGCGACAGAAGTGTGTGTTCGGGCCGAGGCGAGCGACAGAAGTGTGTGTTCGGGCCGAGGCGAGCGACAGAAGTGTGTGTTCGGGCCGAGGCGAGCGACAGAAGTGTGTGTTCGGGCCGAGGCGAGCGACAGAAGTGTGTGTTCGGGCCGAGGTGAGCGACAGAAGTGTGTGTTCGGGCCGAGGTGAGCGACAGAAGTGTGTGTTCGGGCCGAGGCGAGCGACAGAAGTGTGTGTTCGGGCCGAGGTGAGCGACAGAAGTGTGTGTTCGGGCCGAGGTGAGCGACAGAAGTGTGTGTTCGGGCCGAGGCGAGTGACAGAAGTGTGTGTTCGGGCCGAGGCGAGCGACAGAAGTGTGTGTTCGGGCCGAGGCGAGCGACAGAAGTGTGTGTTCGGGCCGAGGCGAGCGACAGAAGTGTGTGTTCGGGCCGAGGTGAGCGACAGAAGTGTGTGTTCGGGCCGAGGCGAGCGACAGAAGTGTGTGTTCGGGCCGAGGCGAGCGACAGAAGTGTGTGTTCGGGCCGAGGTGAGCGACAGAAGTGTGTGTTCGGGCCGAGGCGAGCGACAGAAGTGTGTGTTCGGGCCGAGGTGAGCGACAGAAGTGTGTGTTCGGGCCGAGGTGAGCGACAGAAGTGTGTGTTCGGGCCGAGGCGAGCGACAGAAGTGTGTGTTCGGGCCGAGGCGAGCGACAGAAGTGTGTGTTCGGGCGACAGAAGTGTGTGTTCGGGCCGAGGTGAGCGACAGAAGTGTGTGTTCGGGCCGAGGTGAGCGACAGAAGTGTGTGTTCGGGCCGAGGCGAGTGACAGAAGTGTGTGTTCGGGCCGAGGTGAGCGACAGAAGTGTGTGTTCGGGCCGAGGCGAGCGACAGAAGTGTGTGTTCGGGCCGAGGTGAGCGAACAGAAGTGTGTGTTCGGGCCGAGGCGACAGAAGTGTGTGTTCGACAGAAGTGTGTGTTCGAGCGACAGAAGTGTGTGTTCGAGCCGAGGCGAGCGACAGAAGTGTGTGTTCGGGCCGAGGCGAGCGACAGAAGTGTGT